TAACTAAACTAAACTAACAAACTAAACTAACATAAACTAAACTAACATTAACTAAACTAAATTAAAAAACTAAACTAGCATAAACTAAACTAACAAAGTAGGATTTATTCTAAGCATGCAACAAAAATACAGAAACAAGGCGCCTAAAGTGAAAAATAAATCAATCCACAGCAGCATGGTCCTATTGGCAGAGTGGTTCTGATGACAGTAAGATTATCTTAGTAACGTGGTCCAGTTGGCACCATGGTACTGTTAGCGAAGTGGTCTTGTTAGCAGCGTTAGCAGGTCCCGTCAGCAGCTTGATGGTAATAATGATCGCAGCAGCTGCCCTCCAGAACCAGGTCTGGAAGACGGAGAACATCTAAGGGTTCCCTGCAGAAACGGGTCCCCAATCCCATACTCACGGAGCCCCCCCAATCCCATACTCACGGAGCTGGTGGGATTGAGAAGGTCCAAGAAGTATTCCTTCCACCTTCAGACGACATCACTGGTTGAGGCCAACAGCCCCCCACCTTCACTGAACACAGTGTTAGTAAAGCGCTGCTTTCTTCTCCTCAGCCGCCTGATGGTTTGCCAGAATCTCCTCGGAGCCGACCGAGTCTAGAAACAACGTATTTCTGTTTATTTCAGATAAGTCTCTGTTGGAACAGTAAACCTCCTCTGTGGCGTCGGCTCAGACACGCTGACGACAATTTAACCTCCAAACCACAAACACGTCAGCGACAGTTTTCACCTTGAAATGCTTCAGCAGAAAACGCTCTGTTTCTGCCAGAGTGTTCCACTTTCAGATTACCTGATCGATGACATGTGGGACTGATGTGACCCAAACAGCTCATCGAGGCTGAGCTCATGTTCTTGAATTAAATCCAAACACGTTGGTCTAAAGTATTTAAATTTAAGTAAGGAGTCACGGTAATTACAGCTCCACTTAAAGCAACATTGATCAAATTTGTTTACAAACCTCTTAACGTCAGCATCATCTGTTGATTAAATGAAACAAACCACCAGTTTGAAACTGCAAAGCATTCTGGGAAATGGTTGGGAAGAGGTTAGCTACACAATAAATTCAGCCTCTCCTTCAACTCCAAAATATGGTTCAGCCCGGGTGAATTAAAGGGCAAAAAAATCTTAAATATTTAACAGTTTAACAATTGTGCTAAAAATATGCTATGCTAACATGCTAACAATGCAGCACTCATGTAACACTTTACAACTCCAAATGGTCAAACTCCCTAAACATGAATCTGCAGAAAGTTTCTGGATCCAGAAGTCTTGAAGTTCTGCTCAGAAGACGGTAGAAGCACCTGTATGACTATGTTGATACGCAGACGATACGATGATGATACGCAGACGATATGCAGAAGATACGTTGATGATACGCAGACGATACAATGGCGATACGCAGAGGATACGATGGCGATACGCAGACGATATGCAGATGATACGTTGATGATACGCAGACAATACGCAGAAGATACAATGACGATAGGTAGACGATACGATGACGATACGCAGACGATATGCAGATGATACGTTGATGATACGCAGACGATACGATGACGATAGGTAGACGATACGATGACGATACGCAGACAATATGCAGATGATACGTTGATGATACGCAGACGATACGATGACGATAGGTAGACGATACGATGGCGATACGCTAATACGCTGACGATTTGCAGATGATTCACTGATGATACGCTGACGAAATGCAGATTACACGCAGACGATATGCTGATGATATGCAGACGATACGATGATACACTGACGATACGCAGATGATATGCTGATGATATGCAGATTACACGCAGACGATATGCTGATGATATGCAGACGATACGATGATACACTGACGATACGCAGAAGATATGCTGATGATACGCAGACGATACGCCGACGATACGCCGACGATACGCCAACGATACGCTGATGATACATTGATACGTTTCAGGATTTAATAGACACAATGAAAACATTTAAAATGTGCTTCATGTACAGTTTATAGTTTAAAACATTGGAATTTGTCTCCTCTTTCACTCAGTGTCTCAATGACTTCCACTGTATCGGAGTTCAGAATTTTCTCTTCAAACAGGAAGTGGAGGCCCATTTTGTCTGTGTAACACAAAATGGAGTCTCGGGCTATTTTCAGACTTTCTGTTGATTTGAATTTCATTCAGAAGTTTTTGATTTTACGTCCAGCTGGAGTTCAAACAACCTCCCTGTGTCTCAGACCGTCATCATGGCTCACGTCACAGCCCGGACACCGCCTCGCCTCAGGATTACCGACACCTCTGGTTCCAGAACGTGACTCAGTACAAAACACAAAAAGCCGATCCCGCCTGACGTCTGACCCGGACAGCAACAGAACAGCTGGTTCATTAAGATCCTCATTAACCCGACAGAACCGGCTCTGACTCAGAACACTTCCTGATCCGAGCTGACGTGTTTGAGCCTGATGATCCAGTCCTGTATGGAAACATCTGAACCCACAGATTCTTATTGAACATTTCTGTAACTTTATTCAACATGGAGGTCAGAACTCCCGGAACGATTAAAAACTTTCAGCTGAAACAGAAAAGTTCTGCTCAGAGTCCCGGACCTTAAAGCTTGAGATGTTGGTGTGTTCAGAAACATTTCTGCTGCACGTACTGAAGTTATGAACTCTTAAAAAAATGTGTTTAACTTGTTTTTATCGAGTTTGCAATTTATTTCAGTTATTTTTTAAATTCTGCGTCCTCACATGTGACGGACAATAAAAGAGTGAATCATCTACGGGGAGCAGGAGGCGTTTTCTCACATGTCCAAGTCAAAAAGTCTGATTTACGTCTCGGCTGATCAGAACCGGGTACCACTGACCCTGCTGGCCCAGTTCTGCTCGGTGGGATGGAGTTACGATAACATCTAGTGACTGACACGTTAAACTGCACTTTTATATGACGTCATTACAGATAAACACAAAAATAAAAATAAAGGCATTTCTTTATTTCATGTTTAGATTCTCGTTTAGAAGTTTAAATATTTATTTTAAATTACAATCTGAGGAAAACTTCTCACACGGTCTGTTTCAACCTTCTGGTTTTCTTCGTCTTTTTAAAACACAAACCGTTTCAGTGCTTTGAGTCCCACTTTAACCACATAAAGTGAAACGACCTGCAGCTCTAAGTGAATTAACTTTAATAAAAATAAAATAATTTTTAAACGTTGAACGCCTGAAGTCAGGTCACTTACTTCTCCTTCATCTTCCTCTTCTCCTCGAGGTGGCGGTGAGCCTGCAGACGAGACTCGGGGGTGAAAGAACACGGTGTGTGCCAGAACTCTCGCTCCTGGTCCTCCTCATCCACCTCTGGGTTCTCCTGGTCCTCCTGGTCCACCTCTGGGTTCTCCTGGTCCACCTCTGGGTTCTCCTGTGACCTGTGAAGACAGATCCAGACAGGCTGAGCCAGTCTCAGAAGTGAATCTTATTAAAAGTGAAATGAAGCCTCAAAAATCATTAATAAAAACAGACACTGGAGCCGATCAGAGTCCGGTCGGGTCTGGTCTGGTCCGGTCCAGTAGAGTTTACTTATTTGGAAGAAAACAAACTCAAAAAAACAAGTTTCTGAATTCTGACAAAAAGATTCTGCAGAAACTCTTCCTACTTTAACTAAAAACACGTTTTACCTCAAACTAAATCCGTATGAAGAGTCAATATCTCACCTGTTGCAGATGGCTCTTTAATCGACCTCAGTCTGAAACGTTTCACAGAGTTTTGCCGTAAACTGTGGCGTCTGAACTCACGTTGTGTTGACGTCAGTGGACCGTCGCCCATCGGAGCGCGCTTTCTTCTTCTCCTCTTCAGCAGATTTTCTCTGCGCCTCCTCTTTCTCCTCTGCTCTCCTCCTCAGGTACTCCCTCTCCTGCTCCCCGACTCGTCTCCTCACCTCCTCCAGGCCCTGAGCGGCTCTGATCCGCTCTGACCGGCTGATCTCGGTCCCGTCCAGCCGCTGAGGACACGAATCAGAACATGGATGAACCGATAAACGTACGGGTTTTTCACCAGAACCAACCAAAGATCAGTTTCTACCAAAATAAAAGCAGAATGACGGGACTCTGCAGAGAAGCACCCGTTTCTCCACAGCCTGTGAAACAACTTGTTGAACGTGAGTTTGGTTTACGTGGATCTGAGGCAGCGCCGCCACGACGAACTGCCTGTAGCCCTGGAACTCCGTGCACGGGTTCCCCACCAGGAACAGCTCCCTCAGGTGCACGTTGTGCTGCAGGGACTCCACGCTGCTCAGGAGACCCACGAAGTTCACCGTCAGGTCCAGCTTCTGGAGGCTCTCGCAGCCTGAAGGCAGGAAACAAACGTTGTGATCACGAGCGAACTCTTCCAGCGTTTCATAAAAATAAACCGTCTTTACGCTTTAAAACGATCGGACCAATCAAAACCACCCAGGAGTTGGAAACACTTAAATGAATAAAGCAGCCGAGGACATGAGCTGAAGAGAAACCAGGAAGTTTTTACTGACGTGAAGTTTCAAACATTCAGAATCTTTAGATTTCTGCTGAATCTGATTTAAAGGCTCATTTTTAGCGTTCATTTAGTAAAGTTATAATCTGGCGCTCTGTTGTCAGATTAAAGGTTTGTTTCTGATCCGAGTGACAATAAATTCAGTTTGGATTCACTGGATACAGACTGGGCCTGTCACCATAACAAATGTTGATGGGCAATTAATTGTCTCAAATTACTGCGATAAACGATAATATTGTTTGAAATTTGACAATAATTAGTAATTATTGTCAAATTTTAGAAGAAATGTTGGTTAATTTGTTTTGCATGTAGTATAAGACTGTTTGAACCAAAGGATGGATAGTGAGGGAGTGAGCAGCGTGTCTCTAAGAAAAATGTGAGGGAGGCCCCTTGACGTGACATGGGCTGTCTCTCTTTGGTTCTCAAAATGGTGGACAGTCAGTGTGGTTTGAGCTCTTTAGCATTTTTTTATACAGAGCTTTTAATAAAAATCAGTAAACAAGTTGTCAACTTCTTTTTGCAGAGAAAAACAACTTTTTACACGAAGGCACGAGTTTCAATCGTGAATTTTGGAGCTTCGACAAGACGGAGGTTTTTCCCGAGGTCGGCCTGTTAGCTTAGCTTGTAGCTTAGCTTCTCAGCTTAGCTTCTGTTAACTGTCCAAAAACATGATTTTGGTTAAAACAGATTTTAAAGAGAAAAGAGAAAGGGAGGAGTCAGTGAAGAACCAGAGTTGAGTTTTTGTCATCCAGTGTCTTCAGTAGAAAGAGACACGAAGAAACGATAAAGCTGATAAATTAAAATGAAGTTGATAATTTTCATTTATCATTAATTGATTAATTGATTTATTGTGCATCTGTCTACTGCAGACTGAACACAAACATGAAGTTTTGTCTCATAAATACGATGGACTCGTCCTGTTACTCTAAATTTAATTAATTTGTTACAGCCGACACTAAAAGATAAAAATAAATAAACAGGTTTATCTTGAAAGAGGAGAAGTCGTGTTCAGTTTGTAAGTTTAGTTTCAAAACGGACCTCGTTTCAGCAGAAATAAGAAGTTAGACCTGAAAGCGAGTGGTAAACTCGTCAGCTTCCGTCACCTCTGGATCTTATTTTTATGGCTCTTTGTGTCCCTTTGGATCATTTCAACAGATTTTGTCTGTTTTGTCTCAGCAAACACAGAGATGCTGGAACCAAACAACTTCAGCCTCCACACCAAGACAGGCACCAGAAGAAGAGCAGACAGAGCCAAATTAAATCAGCTGAACAGGAGCACCCTGAGCTGTAGTCCAAAGAAATAGATATCTGCGCACTAAAGATGATGTCGTGTTCCTTCAGACATCAAACAATCAGGAAAACGTGCCTCAGATGTTGCTTTTCTCTCCCTCATCAGACCTAAACGTTCCTATAAAATCTAACGTTTGTGTTTGGAGCACCGACCCTGGAGGTTTTCGATGACTTCGATGTTGTTCAAGGCCAGATTTAAATATTCCAGCTTCTTCAGGCGACCAAGATTCTCTGAAAAATACAGAAAACTTAAAGTAGCTCGGCAGAATCTCAAAGATGACACAGTGCGTCGATTAAACCACCTCAGACGAAGTCTGCGTGTTACCGAGTTTGGGGATGAGGTTGTTGTGCAGGTAGAGGATCCTCAGGTCGCGACACCACCTGTCGATGTGCTCGATCTTCTCCACGTCCTGCTGATGCAGAGAAACCTCCTCCAGGGAGGAGATCTCACAGTCGTTGTGCTCGGCTCGCCGGCGGATCAGCTCCTCGGTGACTGAGCAGGAGACGAACCACAGGAAACCTTTTAAACTACGACGTGACACTAGGCCTGTCACGACAATAAATTTTACTGGGCGATTAATTGTCTCAGAAATTACTGCGATAAACGATAATATTGTTTGAAATTTGACAACAATTAGAAACTATTGTCAAATTTAAGAGGAAATGTTGGTTAATTTATTTTGTGTGTAGTACCTTTTTTGACCACTGGATGGCAGTATAAGACTGTTTGAACTGAAGGATGGATAGTGAGGGAGCGAGCAACGTGTCTCTAAGAAAAATGGGAGGGAGGCCCCTTGACGTGACATGGGCCGTCTCTCTTTGGTTCTCAAAATGGCAGACGCTCTGTGTGGTTTGAGCTCTTTAGCATTTTTCACACAAAGCTTTTAATATAAAAATCAGTAAACAAGTTCTCAGCTTCTTTTTGCAGAGAAAAACAACTTTTTACACGAAGGCACGAGTTTCAACAGTGAATTCTGGAGCTTCGACAAGACGGAGGTTTTTTCCCCGAGGTCGGCCTGTTAGCTTAGCTCGTAGCTTAGCTCGTAGCTTAGCTTCTCAGCTTAGCTGCTTTTAACGAACCTAAAACACGATTTTGGACGATTAAAACAGATTTTAAAGAGAAAAGAGAAAGGGAGGGGTCAGTGAAGAACCTGAGTTGAGCCTTTTTGTCATCCAGTGTCTTCAGTAGAAAGAGAGAGACACGAAGAAACGATGAAGCTGATAAATGAAAATGAGGCTGATAAATTTAATTTGTCATGCGATTAATTGGTTTATTGATTATTGTGACAGGTCTATGTGAGATTCATTTGATCACGGACCGGTCAAAGTCAGTTGAATCATGTGAATTCACAACTCGAGTTTCTAAACACAGTTAATCTTTCCATGAACCTTTACTGACGTGCACCTCCCTGAACCTGACCTGCATTAGACTTCCTTTAGAAACGGTGAAGTTTCAAGTTGAAACGAGTCGTCGGCAGTGATGGGTCCTCCTGCGCCGAAGCTTCAGACGACCTGGAGGTCTTGGCCGAAGCTTCAGACGA